AAAAGCGTGGCTTGGATGTCAACGCGCATTTGAATTGGTGTATGGTGACTTTGAGAAATCATTTAGTGACCTACCTAAATTTTTTGCATCTTTTCAACACTTTAACCATGAAACATTTGTGGAATGGAAACACGAAGAGTCTATGAGTTCATCAGAGGTAAAAACTTTTAAATTTGTATTTTGGGCTTTCAAGCCATGCATAGATGGATTCCAAACATGTCGCCCTATTATTTCAGTAGATGGAACTCATATTTATGGAAAGTATGAGATCAAATTATTAATTGCTGTTGGAATTGATGGAAATGATATCATTCTTCCTTTAGCGTTTGCTATTGTAGACAAAGAGTCAAAAGAGGCATGGAAGTGGTTTTTTAGAAATTTGAGTGCACATGTGATAAAAAGTAGACAAGATGTATGTGTTATATCTGATAGGGCAAAAGGAATCTTGACTAGTTTGCAGGAGTTGCGGCGATTTCAAGAGCCTCGAGCCTTCCATCGATTGTGCACAAGGCATCTGAAAAGCAACTTTCAATCTAAATTTCCAAACAAGGACCTCAGCAGATTGATGTGGAGGGCTGCTTCAGCCCATCAAGTAAGGAAGTTTGAATCCTTGATGTGGCAGATTAGAGAAGAAAATGTCGAAGCACATGAATACCTCATGGAAATTCCCTTGGACAAATGGACTGTTAGCCATGATGGTGGAAAAAGATGGGGAGTGTTGACAACAAATCTTTCAGAGTCGTTCAATGGAGTGTTGAAAAAAGCACGAGGTTTGCCTGTCATTGCTATGGTTAGACTTTCATTGGAGCAAACTATTGAACGGTATACCCGTAGGTCTCAAATAGCGCACCAACTTGCAGAACAAAATGAATTATGGACTGGGAGGTTCAAAATAAAGTGGAAGAAGAATTATGAAAGTTCAAAAAGGCACTTTGTTTTTTATTGGAATATACCCACAGGGATATACGAGGTTAGATCTATACAAGTTGATGGAACTGGTGGTAATCCTTATTGTGTTTCACTGAATGAAAGAAAATGTGATTGTGGAAAATGGGTTAATTTGCACTTCCCATGTTCACATGTCATGAAGGTAACTGATAGAATGGGGGGGCTAGCTAGAAATTTTGTTAGCGAGCATTTCACAATAGAGAATTATTCTTCCCATGTTCATATGTCATGAAGGTAACTGATAGAATGGGAGGGCTAGCTAGAAATTTTGTTAGCGAGCATTTCACAATAGAGAGTTATGTTGCAACATATTCTGGGTCATTCTCACCTATTGGTCATGAGGCATATTGGCCATCTCCAAGTTTTACAAATGAGAAGTAATGAATTCTATCGTCGTCCTAATCGGCCAAGGACAACTAGAATACCTAATGAAATGGATCGTGGTTCTACAATGTATGAGCGAGTTTGTGGATTATGTAGGCAGACTGGACATGATAGGCGTCGATGTCCCAATCGTAATTAAATTTAGATCATAATTGCAGCAATGCTAACCCCTTATCTAACTTGCATCACAAAACAAAAGAAAGCAACAATCTTTAATTGCTTACTATATCACATGAAGAAAAACCAACATAAAACTCATCTCATACACAATTTTATTTTGTTTCCCAATATCAAAAATCAATGAGAAACAGTGGATCTAACCAACAAAAAGAAAATCACCAGATGACTAAAAAAACTCTTTCAACATCCACCAGTTCTACCAATCACTTGCATGAGACTCTAAAACCAAATAAAAACAGAGATTTAGAAAAGGACTAGCAACCAAATAATAAGTCATACCAGATGCAGGACACAACCAAATGCAGACAGCAGCTCCAATCAACAATATCAATTACGTGTGGGTATATGAATCATCACTGACCATGTTTCTCCATTTAAATTTATTTCATGCCACTATATAAAGTAAATGAAAAATAAAAGATACTAGTTAAAAACTAAAAGACTCCTGGAAAACCAAGCTTTTGGTATCAGAGCTTAATTGATAGAGTTCTGGGTGAATTCTCCGCATCTCCAATTTGTTTTTCAGTATATTGCAGAGTTGAAGGATTGCGATGGCGACGAAGATCGACCACAATCATCCTCTGTATCTATCGACATCTGATATCCCAGGAGCTGTGCAGATTGGAATCCAGCTCACAGGGATGGAAAATTACTCACTATGGAGTCGAGCTATGCAATTAACCCTTTTGACGAAGAACAAGATGGGATTTATTGATGGCAGTCTTCGACGAGATGATTTTAAGGAAGAACTGGAGAAGAAACAGTGGGATCGATGCAATGCGATGGTCCTCTCTTGGTTGATGAATAATGTAGGCACAGATCTGGTTAGTGGTATCTTGTTTCGATCTAATGCAGCTCTGGTTTGGAATGACTTGAAGGAACGATTCGACAAGGTAAACATGTCACGTATTTTTCATCTCCACAAAGCAATTGTTACGCATGTTCAAGGAGTTTCTCCAGTTTCAGTTTACTATTCAAAATTGAAAGATCTTTGGGATGAATATGACTCGATACTCCCACCTCCTTCCTGCGACTGTGCAAAATCAGTTGATTATACTGATAGTATGCTTAGGCAAAAATTACTTCAGTTTCTTATGGGGTTGAATGATAACTATGGGCAAGCAAGGAGCCAAATTCTTATGATGAATCCATCTCCTAGTGTGAATCAGTGTTATGCAATGATTGTTCAGGATGAAAGCCAACGTTCCTTAAGTGGATCTGGACAAACGATTGATCCAACTGCATTATTCACTCACAGGCCTGGAGGCAGTGGTTTTGGATCTCAAGGTTCTGGTAATGGAAGTGGTAATGGTAATTCTCATCGATTTCACAAAGGAGGAAATATGTACTGCGATTTTTGTAACATGAAAGGGCATATTCGAGCCAATTGCAACAAGCTCAAGCACTGCACACATTGCAATATGCAGGGTCATACAAAAGACACATGCTATCAACTCATCGGTTACCCTGCAGACTACAAAGGAAAAAAGAAGGCGAATATTGTTACTGCACCTTCATTGCCTCAAATGCAGCACAATAGTTTCAACAATAATCTCAATCACCCAATGCAGTATACAGGTGATGGTATTGGCCATTTTGTTTCTCCTATGCAATTTACAGGAAATACAAATGGATACAGTCCTGGATCTACTGCTGGAAATTTTGGACCTGGATCTGTGCCACAGTTTACTCCGAGTCAATATAACAATATCCTTCACATGCTGAACAAACCCATGCTGAGTGAATCCAGTGCAAATGTAGCAGGTATTTTCGCTGGTTCTTCTCACTGTAACAGTCCTACTCATAGCTCATCTTGGATAGTAGATAGTGGTGCTACTGATCATATGGTTAGTAATAAAGCTCTACTTAATCATGGATTATCAGTTTCTCACCCAGGAAAGGTCCAACTCCCCACAGGGGATTCAGCTGTTGTTACACACTCAGGCAGTTCACAATTAACAGGAGGTGATGTAGTTAAAAATGTGTTGTGTGTGCCCACTTTTCAGTTCAATCTTCTTTCAGTGTCTAAGCTCACTAAAGAACTAAATTGTTGTGTCGTTTTCTTCCCTGATTTCTTTATAATTCAGGATCTCTTCACTGGGAAAGTGAAGGAGATTGGTGAAGAGATTGATGGCTTATACATTACCAGACCATACCAATATCATGATAAATCAAAGAAGGCACTGGCAGCTGTTAAAGGATGTGAAGAAGCTGAAACGTGGCATAAGAGACTAGGTCACATCCCTATGAGTGTGCTTAGGAAAATTAAGATGTTTGATCGTCCAGAAAATCTTGTTCTACCTAGTTGTGATGTATGCCCATTGGCAAGACAAGTTAGATTGCCATTTCCTATTAGTCAAAGTAGAAGTGAAAATTGTTTTGATTTGATTCATTTGGATGTATGGGGACCTTATAAGGCTACTACACATAATAAAATGAGATATTTTCTAACAGTGGTTGATGATCATTCAAGATGGACATGGATTTTCTTAATGCACTTGAAATCTGATGTTTCTACTATTTTACAGAATTTCATTTTGATGATTAACACTCAATTTGGATAGAAAATTAAGACTTTCAGATCAGATAATGGTACTGAGTTCTTTAATGCTCAGTGTGATGGGTTGTTCAAGAGTCATGGGATTGTGCACCAAAGTTCTTATCCACATACACCACAACAGAATGGTGTAGTGGAAAGAAGGCACAGACATATTTTAGAGACTGCAAGGGCATTGAGGTTTCAAGGTCACTTACCAATTGAATTCTGGGGTGAGTGTGTCTTAAGTGCTGTACACATTATCAATAGAATTCCTTCTTCAGTGTTGCACAATAAATCACCTTTCGAATTGATGTATAAGAGATCTCCTGACCTGTCTTACATGAGAGTGATTGGTTGTCTATGTCATGCTACAAATCTAGTCAAAACTGATAAATTTGGACCGAGGGCTATTCGATCAGTTTTGATGGGCTATGGTTCTACACAAAAGGGTTACAAGTTATATGATCTTGAGCATAAAAAATTCTTTGTTAGTAGGGATGTGGTGTTCAATGAAGCAGTGTTTCCTTTTCAATCCCCAGCATTGTTGATCCACCTGATACAACATTATTCTTGGCTTCACCTACCTGTTCCTCTCCTATTGAGGATACAGATGCAGTCCAACCTGCTACAATAACAAGTGAAGAAATTATACACGTAGCTTCCCCTCCTTCAGCTGTTCCTGATGATCATTTGCATCCTTCTCCTGAGAGAAGGAGATCTCACAGGCCAAGTAAACCACCTCTTTGGCAGAAAGATTTCATTACTGCCTCCACAAGTAGATCAAACAATTGCCTTTATCCTATCTCAGACAACATTGATTACAGTTGCCTTTCCTCCACTTATCAATGCTACATTGCTAGTTCATCAGTTGAGACTGAACCTCAATTTTATTATCAGGCTGCTAATGATTGTAGATGGGTACATGCTATGAAGGAAGAAATTCAAGCATTGGAGGATAACAAAACTTGGGAGGTTGTTTCTTTGCCAAAAGGAAAGAAAGCAATTGGTTGTAAATGGGTTTATAAAATCAAATATAAAGCTAGTGGTGAGATAGAAAGATTCAAGGCTCGGCTAGTAGCAAAAGGTTATAATCAGAAAGAAGGCCTGGATTACCAAGAGACCTTCTCTCCTGTAGTAAAAATGGTTACATTGAGGACTGTTCTGACCTTGGCTGTTTCCAAGGGATGGGACATTCAACAGATGGATGTTTATAATGCCTTTTTACAAGGAGATCTTATTGAGGAAGTCTATATGCAATTGCCACAAGGATTTCAGCATGATAAGAAAGGGGATCCTAAAGTATGCAGGTTACTTAAGTCTCTATATGGGCTGAAGCAGGCTTCTCGCCAGTGGAATGTAAAGCTCACTACTGCTTTACTTGCTGCTGGTTTTCAGCAGAGCCATCTTGATTATTCATTGATGATAAAGAAGACTGCAAATGGGATTGTGATTGTACTTATATATGTGGATGATTTGTTGATTACTGGCAGCAGTCCACAACTTATAGTTGATGCCAAACAAGTACTCAAGGCAAACTTCAAAATTAAGGACTTGGGAACTTTGCGATATTTCTTGGGCATGGAATTTGCCAGAAATGCAGGTGGTATGCTGATGCATCAACGGAAATATGCCCTTGAGATCATTTCTGATTTGGGATTGGGAGGATCTAAACCATCTGTCACTCCTGTTGAAATGAATTTGAAGCTTACCACACACGAGTTTGATCTACATGTTGGAAGTTCAGGTGCTGATTCTTTGTTAGCAGACCCTACTGAATATCAACGACTTGTTGGAAGGTTGTTATACCTTACCATAACAAGACCTGATATATCCTTTGCAGTCCAGCATTTGAGCCAATTCATGCATACTCCTAAGGCTTCTCATATGGAAGCAGTTGTTCGAGTGGTGAAGTATGTGAAACAAGCTCCAGGTCTAGGCCTTTATATGGCTGTTCAGACAGCAAACACACTTCAAGCATACTGTGATGCTGATTGGGGTTCTTGCATTAACACTAGGAAATCCATTACTGGTTATATGATTAAATTTGGAAGTGCTTTGTTATCTTGGAAGTCTAAGAAACAACCTACCATTTCCAGAAGCTATGCAGAGGCAGAGTATAGGAGCCTCGCCTCCACTGTCGCTGAGATAGTTTGGTTAACTGGTTTATTCAAGGAGCTGGATATGCCATTGTCTTTACCTGTTTCTTTATATTGTGATAGTAAAGCTGCCATTCAGATCGCAGCTAATCCTGTCTTCCACGAAAGGACTAAACACATCGACATTGACTGTCACTTCATTCGGGAAAAGGTTCAAGCTGGACTTGTGATGATTCAATATTTGCCCACACATGAACAACCTGCCGATATCCTCACAAAGGGACTCAGTTTTGCACAACACTCTTATCTAGTTTCCAAGCTAGGCTTGAAGAACATCTTCATACCACCTAGCTTGAAGGGGGGTATTGAGGACTACGACTATGATAAACAAGTTGCAGCTAGTTGAGCTGAGCTGGCAGACGAATCAGTTAGAGTTTGTTAGAAGATATTTTATGTAGTTAGTAGATTGTTAGAGATTATAAGTAAGTAGAATCTTTTGTGTATAAAAGGTCCTAGTCTCATTCATTTGTAGTTAGACAATCCAATTTACAGATGATTTCAATGCAAGTTCTCTGAAGAAGATGAACTCTCTGTTTTCTTAACTGCTTCCATTTACATTTTTTTACCATTGATAGTGTACTGTTTCAGCAATTTAACAGTGTTAATTTCCAGATTGCTAATAGAGGAAAAATTATTAGTGCATAAAGTTATCTACTGCATAAACTTAGAAATGTAGAGGAAAAAACAAACTTAACTTAGAAATGCTCAGATTGCTAATACTTCAAACAACTCGAAATGTTTGATTTATATAATTGGACACAGCTAATACAAGATTGATTTACATGATTTTTCACTTCTTTCTCTTTCAATACTTCATGGTCCAATAAATGCCGGGACACACAACTCTCGAGTAGAAACTCCAAAATTGAAATCCAACGCCAGAAATTGATGTCATTTACTTCGTCTAAATAGCTTTGCACAAGCTCGCAGGGGAGATCATTAAACTGGAACAAAGAATATAATCAGGACCCAAAGTAGGTCTACAGCATAATGGAAATACTCAGGAGACAAACTAAATATCTCACTGTAGAACATGTCCCAAAACCCATAAATCTTGAACAGTTCTCAGCAAATGAAAGCGTTAATACTCACATTGCTTGGAGCAGCACAATGATTGATATTACAATGATTGACTTAAGAGAATATATCACTAGTTAAAGCATAGATAAAATGTAATATATTATTCTTCAACTGTATCTAACAGCTACAAGGAAAAAAAAATTCACACAGTAAAGAAATTAAGACAACCTTTATAAAAGTTTAATGAAGATCTAAGTAGCATTCATTCTTGATATTAGCAGTCTTAGTTACAGTGAATATTCTTTGACTAAAGAACTTTCACAGCCTTGTTTCCTACAAGGCCTAATCATTCTCCAAACCCTTGAACAAAAGTTCCATGATATCTACATAAGATATAAACTCTGCAAGTAATGGCTAACCAAATAATTCAAAGGGAAGATAAGAAACAGAGAGAGGAGGGGGAGGACGAGTACAATGACACCTCTCAATTACAGTTCTTTGTTTGTCTTTGCTTGTTTCTTTTTGCCATGCTGGCGAAGATAGTGACTCCCTGACAAGCAAGGGTAATTTTAAATTATTCAATTAAAAAGAGGAGCATTTATGTCAAAAAATAATATAAAGATGTTAATAATACCAGTCCCACAACGCTTAGGAAAAATCGTACGCTTCTCCTTCACTGATGGTTCACCACATTCGTTTGCATTCTCCACTTCATCGTTGGAATTATCCAACTCATTACTTTCTATATTATTGTTGGAGTCCTCCAAATGATTAACAACATCAGGGGTCTCAATGGACATTGGCAGCCCAGGTGATGAATTAAAGTTGGGGGCATTCTTAAAATGTTGATGCCGAGAACCACCAAATACATTCTCAAGTGACGAAAGACTTGGATTCCTTAATATTTGTGACGTCGTGTATGGGACAATATCAGTATTTGTTGGTTGATATGTCATACCTGATGCCCCAGGAGTGAACTCCTGAGTTTAGCCCCTTGAAATGGAACCAATATCAGAAGTTGTGTGATCATCTTCGGAGACTGATTCGTCCATTTCAATAGGCACTCGTCCTTTCTCAACAGCACAAGCCATCCTACTAGCAACACCACCTTTTCCTCACCTACGAACAGGGGAATGTAAATGATCATCATGTAACTCATCTCTTCTATAATCGGCTTGTACATTAATCCTATCAGCCTCGTGCACATATGTCAAGCATTTTTCTCCTTCATTCCGGACCATTGCACGAAATATGTATAAATCCTTCATTGATGGCTGATCACCAAGTGCTCTCGCTCTATCCACCATGGAATGAATATGACGCACCTACACAAAGATCAATTCTTTTTCTAACAAGCATTTTCGATTCTTTTTTCTAACAGATGCTCAAACAAAGATCAATCTGAAGCACTTGTATAATATTTTCTAAGAAAAAACATAGGTAACAATTTTCCAAGTCAAAATTTTCGAGAAGAAGTAATATTTACCCTGCCATTGATATATCCTCAAAAGATAAATCACAAACACACGGAATCTAATACATACCATTGTTTCATATGCCGTTGAATTTGGTACATAACCTTTTTGTTGTTGAGGACGCTGAGTAGGATTACCGATAACAAGACGAGTAATGCGTTTGAACCAAATAAGGTAAGGGTCATCATATCGAAGTGGTTCACGATTGAACGGTGCATCACAAATATATTGAAGCCGTTGGTTCCAAAAAGGCAACCATTGTGCATGCTCCAACTTCCAATTTGTATTTGGTCTGCCCCTACGATCATGGTGAAAATGTGTGGCGTCAAATAGAAATGGAGTTGGTATCGTTTGTTTCAATCCAAATTGTCTCATAACTCGATCAGGCAAGTGAACCTCGACGACATCCCAACAAAAAATTGGAGCTCTAACACGCCATATGTCTCGTCCAATTCGACAATAGTCAGGAAGATTCTCAATTAAGTCATCCGAATATGGTTCCCAAATAAACTACATAAAGAGAAAAGAAATGAGTTTCAACTACAATATATACATAAAAAAATTTAGAAAACCCTGTATACCATCATACCTGATCCTCTGTCATGGAATCAAGTGCATCCCTAAAAACTTTCAACACATGCTTAGTGGTATTAGTCCAACTAAAATGTGCAAACCATCTAGTAGCATGTGGACCCCTAGGTAAACCAGCAAGAAAATTATTTTCGGTGTCCCTTTGTGCTATTACCTGAGGTTTGAGGACAGTAACTCTCTCCCATGCCCAAATCTAAACATAATATATAAATATATAATTATGAGATTATAAACTAGAAGAAATATTTATAAATAATTGATGTAGTTATTAAGTATACCTGGAGTAGTGGTAGAAATCCAGCTATCTCGTTTTGGTTACTCTGTGAGGCCTTACAGAGAAAGTGATACAAGCACGCTAAGGTTGCACTACCCCAACTATAAGAGCTAACTACACTGAGATCCTCGAGCATAGGAAGGAACATAAGCTTTAAATAATTTCCAGATGTATCTGCCATCATCATACCAGCAATCATCCAAAACATGTAACATCTAGCCATTTGATTGATCATATCTTGTGTTGCCAAGTTAGGTAACTGTTGTTGCTCGAGCATATGTGCATTAAGTGCAGTTACCTTGAGGCTACTACGGTTGAAGTTTTGAGGACGTGGAATAAAACCTAACAATCTTTGACAAATATTTTGCCAATCCCCTATGGTCCTTATCGACTCATCACCAAGTACTGGATCACCATTCACAGGTAAGCCATACAACACTTCTACATCTTGCAACGTGATTGTCGCCTCACCCGTCCTAAAGTGAAACGTATGAGTCTCAGGACGCCATCTCTCTACTAGTGAAGTGATCAAGCTACGATCAATACTAGGTCGATTTGATCTATAAATACCATATAATCCTGATAATTCAATCACTTCTAAGACTCGTGGATGAATGGGATATTTCTTTACGAGGTCCCAAAATTTTCCATCACACCTCCTCGTATTTAAAATCATATTAACATTTCCATCCCATATATCCCGTGACCTATGGGTAAGTTGTTGAGTTAATACTGATGGTTCAAGTGGACCGGGATCCAATTGGTATGCACTATAACCAACCATATACGTATCTATTAAAATGAAAAACACGTATGAAAGTAAATTAAATATTAATGTTAGCTCAAAATATAACAAGCAAATCAAAATAAATGTACTGTCACCTAATGTTTCATTAAAAATTTGGAAAATGAACTCAATTTTAATAGAGGCCGGTTGCAGGTCAACCTGTTATAGTCTTCCATTCCATTTTCATGTGAACATTTTTTTTCATTGTTTCTCTTTGCATCAACAAGATGCATCAATTCAAAATGAAAACACAACATACAAATCAGAATTTCTTGAGTGATTATTCTATAGAACCAAAACGATGTAAATTCGAGAAGATAGAAATTCTAAAATTCAAGCATTCCTTCTACTATTTTGTAAGGAAAAAAAAAACATACCTCAAGGCTCTAACACAGAAAAACTAACTTCATTCCAAGATTTTCGAAAGATTTATAGCCATAATTTATCGTGAAACTCGATATAACAAGAAATCCCCAAAATTGATTTTGAAATAGAAGAGCTACCGTTTATCCACGAAATTAGGTTTTGACCTGAACTAGGCCAATCAAGAATCAGTGAACAGAGCATACACAGGAATAAAATATAACATTCATACAGGGATTCAAAGATAAAATTGATGATCTCTCCGTCTAGTTGCAACAATAACAGTTAAGGAAAAGAAGGAATGATACAAGACATGGTGGAGTACAACACAACAAAGATTAAATTGCTTACTGAGAACTCCCGAGTCACCAGTGAGTTGGATCTGAGTGATGTTGGGGTCGTTAGTATTCCGGTCAATCGCCGCCAAGGGTGACTACCTCGCTGCAAAGAGAGGAACAAGAACGTCAGGGAGCTCGATTCGTAGCTGCAAAATCTTGGAAATGGACTTGGACACATACCTGGAAAGAAGCTGAAGGGGCTGAGATGAAGTGAAAGAAGAAGGTTTCTCAAAACCACCATAGTTGTAGATCTGGACTAACCAATGTATTTTGGAAAGTTCCTTCTGTATTTTCTTTTGGTATTTTTGTTTTGTTTGGATGGTGACATTTGTGGATATGAATGAATAAAAGGTCCACGTGACCACAATTCACTTTTTTTTAAAAATATGTGGGTTACGTTTTACACTTAAAACATTACTCATAGTAACATTTTACACCTAAAACGTTACTCATAGTAACGTTTATTTATTTAACATCGTCAACTCCGTCAGTTTTTGTCCGTTGAATTTTTAAAATAAAAATAATCTAAAACGTTACCATGAAGTACATTTATACTACTTTTGTAAAAAATTAAAAAGCGTATTAGTTTGGTGAATTGGTTTTAAAAATAGCTTATTTTGGTAAAAAATTCATAACTCATAAGACACAAAAGAAAATGAAAAAAAAAAAAGAGAGGCAAAAATAACATCAAGGTCTACTATATAGAAAAAACTTCTTATAAAAATAATAACATTACAAACGATGGATTGTATTTTATTTGAGATAAATCGTCACGAACAACTTTAATTTCTAAATCCGTTTGCACATGTACAATCACACACAGAGGCTCACAACCATTACATACACAAATCGCGTCGTCTAGTAATCAACGATTATGAGGCATTTCCTGTAAAACATCATTTCTAGAGTAAAAATTAAGTTGATCTTTATTATCATCCATAGAAGAAGAGATTGATGGTGAATATTGTGATAATGATAGATCACAATGGTTACTAATAGTAATAAATAATCATGAGAGTTATAATTATAGTACTGTTTCTGGCCATTATTGCATAAAAGTTCTAAGCTTCAACACAATATTTTTCAAAATAATTGTCCCTTGCGAATAATCAATTAAGGGTCTAGCAAGTGATTATATATGTACTACTAATAGTAGTACCTAGGCCTGTTTTTATTGTTTGTTAGAAACTATGGCGAATTGAAGTAACATGTTCTTCCCTCCGGTTTGTTTTTACTAATCACGGTTTGTTCAATGAAAAATATTAATTAATTTTCGAAGTTAAATTGAATTAGAATAATTTAACATTTTATATTTATATATTGAAAGCCATATAAAAAAAATACTATAAGTTGCAATCTTTCTCATATTAATATGATAAAAGAAATACATTTTAAAATATTGGTCAAAATTCATGTAATTTGACTCTCAAAATATATAATGTGACAAGTAAAAAGAGAGAGAGAGTAATTTTCTTTAAAAAAATAAATCAACTTGTAAGAGATAAGATCCTAGCTATAGTTCAGCGGCCGTTCTTGATTTTATATTCCAGACACCAGACTAGGTCAATTATCTATAATTTTAAAAGGTTTAAAAAATTAGTGTATTCGATAATTACAATGGCAACTTGCTTATTAGTTATTTGTTGTCACCAATTAGAAACTTTTTTTTCTCTCTCACCCAACTTGTTGTATCCTGTTTAATCTAAATTTTACTATACGGAAAGAAAAAACACAAAATCTATTGCTAATTTTGTTTAATTTCGCGATAGATTATCACTATAAGAAAAAAAGCATTTTCCAACAATTTTTTTGTTGTTGCTATATATTAGATGTTGTTGCAAAAAGTACTTTTGGCAACAATATAAAAGTTGTTGCATGTTGTTGCAATAAACGTTGATGCGAAAAGTTTTTGCAACAACAAAATATATTGATGCCAAAAGCTAACTTATTGCAACCAAAATAATTGTTGCCCTACATTAATATAATTGTGGCTTATAAAAAATTTCGCAACAAAATTTAATGTTGCCACAAATTACCTTTTTTACCAACAATATCAGTTGTAAAAAATTGACAAAAAGTTAGTTAATAATCTGTTAGAAGGCTTTTAGCAACAATAATTTTTATTGCAATGCATATTTATTATACAACTTTAGCAACAATTTGTAAGTAGTTGCTACTTACATAATACACATTTTCTTTTTAGAAATTTTGTACAAATATTCTCTACACTTTTAGCAACTATTTGTGAATAACTTCTATATACACAATACACTTTTCTTTTAGAATATTTTCACAATATTTAGATTAAGAATTATATAAATTTGCAATGGTCAATGTAAGATTGATAGTCCAAAGAACTAAATACTTCTGCATGTTTGTACTTGTAAGAAAAAAGAATAAGCAAGTCATTAATTATATTCTAATCCTACTAGTAACTTTTAGAATAATCCGATCTTCCAATAGTACTTGTATTGAAGCAATGATTCAATTATGCATGTCCATCCTGCAAATAAAAGATAAATATAATTATAATTTGACAAAGTATGTTAATAAAATACACAAATATAAATCTAAAAGACAGATATTCATATGAATGCACTCACTTATACACCCAAACACACTTTAATCTCCTTATTTCATTTGCATTTAAGAAAAAAAAGTAATAATATAGGTGGATTCGAGTTGTTTGGGACTCCTATGAAAACTAAATAGTTTATGTTGGGAGTACTTTACAAGATGCCACAGTACTACTATTAAATTTAGAGGTAATTGAATTACTACTAGACTCTATCTTGCTCAATACTATAATATTACTCCACTTTATATCAAATATATGATCCATGCGGAACAAGAGATATTTAGGCAACGTACCTCACTTGATTTCTTCTTTTCCAGCTCTACAATTTTTGCCTCAACTGATGATTTTTCACTCAAAAGCCTCTTCTTTGTTTCTTCTGCGGTACGCAACATAGAGCGAGCTTTCAGTTCTTCATGGATCTTTTCAAAATCCTACAAGTGAAGTCACATGAGTTTGTGTTTTGTGGATACTAATCTGGACAAAATATGAAGGTCAAATAATAATTTATAGCTTTACCTGATTATTTGCGTCAACCAACTCTTTCGGAATAGTTTTCTTTGAACCTTGAGAACTCAACTTTGGAAGCCGCATTTCTAAGCTTAGCTTCTCTGATAGGGCAACCTATAAGGAATGGAGTAATAAAATGAATGATTGTCCCCTTAATAAATCAAATTTAATAACATTTAAAAAATACCTTAAGCTCTACATCTTTTTCATTGCACAATGAACTGAATTTATCACAATCATAAATAGCCATTTCTAAGGTTTGCTTCTCAAAAGTCAAGATATCTTTCAAGTTATCCAATTCTTTTTGCATATGTGATTCTTGGTTTTGCTTTCCGTGTAAATCTTCCTGCAACTGCTTATCAATACAAAGATTATAAGCTTGAAATAAATATATATCTAAAATAAGTTTATTACATATTGTGTTTTTCTGTTGTAATTAAAAATGATAGATGGATATGCATAGAGATACAACACACAAGGACATGAAAAATCTATTCCAATAATAATATAGCAAGTCAATGTTAACATAAAAGAACAATCTCTATTTTTCATCTAATTAATTACCAGCAACATATCCTTGTAAACAAAAACAAAATTTCAGCAACATATACTATTTTCATCTAATTACCAAATGTGATGCTCGAACAAACTAACAACATATGTTTTGTGATCAATGAGCAATACTCGACAATAGCACTAGTTCATAATGTAGTAATAATAATAGTAATTAGAGTTTCCTTTCCAAGAGAGGTAGGAAGACTAAACATCCTAGATGTAGCCTATTGGAACAAGATAGCTATATGCAAGTTGCTATGGAATTTGTGCTGTAAAAAAGATAAGTTATGGGTCAAGTGGGTCCACTGCTATTACATAAAGGGAAATTCTATCTGAACAACCTGAGAGTATAGACCATCTATTTTTCCAATGTACATATGCTGCTACCATATGGTCCAAGCTGTTACAATGGTTGGGAATAGATAGACAAGTAGAGTTGTTGATGCCATCTATAAAATGACCTTGGCTGCCGGTGTCTACTATGTTTGGATTGAAAGGAATAATAGTGTGTTCAAGGCTATGAAAACTGAGCCCCGTAAGGTAATCCGGAGGATAATCCAAGAGGTCGTGTACAGAGGATCACATCAAGCACGCCTAACAACAGCCAATGCAAGTCTAAATTTTTATCCTTGAGAATAGAAACAATAGATATGAGACATTTACTTACCCATTTATCATTCATTATACTTGCACAACTTGTCTCCTTTGAACTAGTTGAAGCTGTAATGATATTGAAAATTGAAGCAGGAAGGCCATTCTGTTAAATATGGTACAAATTAATAACTTAGTATGTCGATAAAAGAAGAATAGAACGAGGAAGAGGCGAAAATGTATAGTGAGAGTGAAAACAATTTAAGTAGTAATGTAGCATCTACTAATTTAGCGATGTATACTATAAATAAATACCTTTGGATTCTTCAAATGAGATACTAGCGCCATCATGCTCTCTTTTAACAATTTTTGGTCATGCACTAAACGAACTTCCATTACTTCTCGATTTTTTCGCTCCTCTTCAAGTTGATTCTTAACTTCCATTAGCTTGCTTTCTACACTCTCTCGTTTACGACGTTCTTCTTCTGCTTCCTTTTGTTGTGCTTGAAGTTGTTCTTGAATTTCATTTCTAGATATTCTACTTGCTGACTTAATTTCAGATCCTTGACCAAGAATGTACTTTGATTTTTCTCCCATTATTTGCACAAATGCAACATTAATAATAGGATCCACATCGGTAACCTCTTCAATTTCTTGAATTTTTTCAGCAACAACATCTTTCACTTTATCCTACAAAAAAGGTTATACTAGCTTTAACTCTTCATATTTATTTAAATAAACTCATTCTGTGAATAAAGGTAAAAAAAAGTACATTCACTTCAGCAGAAGCATTAGTAACCCATTGCCCATTTGGCTTCATGTGAGTTATTTCCCAAAGTTTTTGAAAATTCGGCTCTTTTCCAGTGGTTGTGTCCCTTTGTCAAAACAAATGAAATTATGTTATTGTTGAAATTGTAACTATAATCGATCAAAAGAAAGACATATATCTCACCACTTCATAAGACACTGCTTGAAATAATTTTCTACCGCAAATATGATTCACTTCTTGTTTTGCCTTGTTATTTTTGTTTCTTTCACTCATTTTCTGCATTGATTTTGAGTTTAGAAATTTATTTTGATCTAAGTATATAAGAAGTCAAAAAAGAAAACAAAACAATATAAAAAGGTTAAAATTTTTTCACTTTTAACTACCTTAAAATCATCAGAGCTGAAGTAGTCTACCAAGAATTTCCATTCAACTTCATTTAACATTTGTTGGTATGTTTTGCAGACTCTCCTCTTTTGTAGCAAATTTCTTGAAATGATCATGATGTCTACTCCGACGATGTCGATATAAATTTTTTGCTGTCTGAAGAATCGTGTTCCGATTGTGTTGTATGTCCGGAAGCTGAAAAGTGTCCTGCAATCAAAATAGTATAAATAATTAGGCTAAATAAAATGTGTCTTAGTTAGTTCCCAACCCAGCCAACTGTAGTTCTCAAAAGTTCAACATCTTCTATATCAAATTTCTCGCTCAAATCTTTTCAAAAATAAGTGAACATAGTGCATTTGAAGGATTCTTTTCCACAGCAGTTGCTAGTTTTACATTTTCCTTCGGTCAGCTTTCTTAGTAAACACGGTCGGAATGAAATTCCATTAGCGCGGTTAGCTCTGGCACGCCGAGTTTCATCTAGAATGACCTTTGATTCGGTTCCCAGGCAGCTAGGATAATTTTGTGGCATTTAGCGTTTTGTATGGTAATTCATTATAACCATTGACTTTGGGTTATTGCTGGTGCAACACTGAATGCAGGAGGCCACAATTTAAGACCTCCACGTTCATGAGGCCTTGGCCGCATTCGTGGAGGGTCACCTCCCTTTCCTTTCATATTCATGGGCCTCTTTAAAGAGGAAAAAAATAAGGTTTATTCAGATGCAAGGAAGGGCCATCGTAATTTTTATCATCATTAACAAAGCAAGAAATGTTATGTAAAGTAACCATATAGAGAATGCTAACTGAGGCAACACACCCAAACTCATAGAAGTCAATGACTATTTTGTTTCACTTTTACTTGTAGAATGAGAAATCATTAACTGGTCACCAGTAGCACTTCAGAGATGCAGAAAAGTACTATAAAATGTTGTTAACAGGGCTGTCTCATGGACATGTCTCATGGACATGGGTGTCTGAAATGAGTTGGTGTTGTTCTTTTGGCTATGGTCCTGGGAGGTGCTATCGTGTCACAGATTAGAAGGGTTGAGATTGGAACAAGTTTCCAATTTTTCGTAATGCCCCACAGATTTTCTAAGTAATCTGCAACAGATGAACAGGACATGGAGTGTTCTTTTTTAACAGTTACTGGTTTCAGCAGCAACTGAAAATATTAGTTCACAAAACTTAGAAGTAACTTGAAGAAACAGGTAGCTACTGAACCAGAATATGTAGATATGGTTGAACATCCTATGTTGATATCTAACTTAGTATTACAGATTTTTTTCATGCTATCATGATTCCTGAGTTCATTTACAGTTGATCAACTAATAAATTATTTTTGTTCAAGACAGTTTGTGTTGGAAAAATTTAAGATTTCCAACAGCATGTTCTCTAGACATAGTTGAAGAATAAGTAATAAAGAAGCTAAAGAATTTCATTTGATGAGATTCGGAGATAAACACGAGAGAAAAATATTCCATAGGTACAAAATCAGTGAGGAATACATTAAACAAATGATCAAATGCTAGAAGAAAAACTACATTAAACATCAGTTGGTGCAGATTACAATGAATATGGACGTCAAGTAGCCAAACTTTCTTCGATAAGATAATGCCCTATTGAGATATTCTTTAAATGAACTAAAACGTTAAATAGGGAGAATGGTCAAAGGAAAAGATTCAGCCAACAAGAGTGTGAAGAAGATGTTATACGAGATTGAATTCAATTGAATGGCATTTCATTGAGCAAATGTTATAGGAGATTGGATTTCATAGTATGATGGTTAACTGGCTATAAGAACTGTCAGCAATACATTTCATATCAATGGTGCCTAATTGAAACTATCAAAGTTAAGAGAGGTCTCAGACAGGGTTCCAGTCAAACCTAATCTCCAACAGGGCTCTAGGCAAGAGGAGATGAAACATATGTGCAAATACTCAACAACAAGTTTGAGTTATTTTCAGTAGCTTTAGGACTCCAGGCAAACTTAAGAAAAAGTCAGGCTTATTTTGGAGGAGTAAGTAGTCATATTCAACAGAGGATATTGGGAATACTAGGGTATGAATTTGGAGAGTTGCCTTTTAGGTATCTTGCAGTCCCTCTCTCTACCAGAAGATTAACAATTCTACAATGCAAATCATTGGTCAACAAAATCACAGCTAAAATAAGCACATCGATGGTAAGACCCTATCATATGCAGGGATAATCCAACTTACCAAAGTTGGATTGCCTGGTGTACACGCTTATTGGGAAAACAACTAGAAACTAATCAAGTTACTACAAAGAAAGAAAAAACACATTGAAGGAAAAGATAGTTGAGCTTCTTCAACGAGATAAAAGAGATAGAGAACTACATTACTAGAAATACCATTACTCAACATTTACCATTTCAACAACAACAACAAAAAGGTACAGAGAGCTAGAAAGCCAGAAACACTACTGTGGGCCATTTACCATTTCAACAAAAGAAAACGACAGAGAGCTACGATAATAAGAAACACAACTAATGATTTAGGCATTGGCTATCCATCAACAACTAGCTTCAACTTTAAATTTCAAGTTAAATGAATAACACAAACTCTTGTTAATGGTTATCAGTTAGAAAATGATCAGATGCTAGAAAAAAATGAAAAATTACATTGAAGGATCAGTTTTTGTACATTACAATGCATAAGAAGGCCAAGTACTGACCGTTTACCAATTCAACAAACAAAGAAGTCAGGGAGCTATGACGATAATCAGAAACACAACTATAATCCAAAAGAAAGCCAAATAGCTGAACTTCTTCGACAAGATAAAAGAGACAGAGAACTAGATAGTCAGAGATATCATTACTAACCATTTACTATTTCAACCAAAAAAGACAAAGAGAAAAGTACATTACCAGCATATAAGCAACAATCCTATTCTTTGCTAGATCAGGTACTCTCTTCCAATTCTTGACATCATGTCTAGCATTATGGAGAACTTTCACTGAGAGCTCGGTAATAAAATCTTTAGCTCCAGGACCTACTGCAACTGTTCGATCTGGTGGGATAATCACCTTCAACTTTTCATTGTCATTTTCCTTACGTTTCTTTTGGGTTGAAAGCCCTGTTGTCTTTCCTCTTCCCTTTCTCTTTTTTTCTTTAACAATACATAGAGATATTAAAATATATATAAATAAAACATATATGATCTAGAGATTTTGAAGAGATACAATTTAACAAATGGATAAACTTACCTGGACGCAGGATTGCGCTTACATCGACAGTTTCACTATCATTAGAAATATGCATATTTTTCACCATGATTGGCTGCAACCACAACAACAACAAACCGAGTAATATCCCACTACATGGTTAGCTGCAACATACTATAATATTATATAAATAAATATTAGTCAAAATTACAAATCATAAAAGTAAAAGATAGCAATTAACAAACAAAAGCAATGCCAAAATGATAAAGTAATAAAATAGTGTTCAAAAATTGAGAGAAACAAATAAAGCTTCTAAGCAAAAAGATAAAGAAATATGGGAAAAGTAGAAAATAGAAATTAACTATTTCGGTAAGTGAAAAACAAAACTTCTACGGACAAACTGATTCAAACAAATTTTATCTTGATGACAAGTTGAAAATCAAAACCAATCATCATCCTCAACTTCATCATATTCACTAGTATCTTCATCTATTGCAGAATCACTGAAGTCATCTACATTTTCATGATCAGGCTCATCTACAACTACCAAGTCGGCTTCTTCCTCGTTATTGAGAGAAGGTGCTTCAACACTCACTCCATCAATATCTTCTCTTTCTATTCTGATGTTATCATTCTCCAACTCTACTTCTTGGTTTGTTTCTCCTCTTTCAACTAAGTCAATCAATTGATATTGTTCCATTTCATCTTTTTGTTCGTGAAGATCATACAAATTTCGTGGTCTTACCCTTATCACTGAATGCCATTTTTTACTTTGACCATGTTTCACATAATACACTGATTGAGCCTGTGAGCCTAGAATGAATGGAATGTTCTATTAATCAATGAATATTTAGTGATGGGTTCATTGCTAATTCCTTCTTTTTTAATTTGTAGTGTTCACACCTAATTCTTAAAAATAATGCTCCTTATCTCGAAGACGATTTCATTCCTAAGGATGAACTCAAGACCTTAGGAAGATATTTTGAACGAAAATAACTAAACTAGACTGAACTCATAACTGAACTTCTAGCTCTACCCATGCTTTAGAAAAGGAAGTAATAATATAAAAAAATACTGTACACAGAGACTGAAAACCTTTTTAATATACTCATCAAAGCAAGTTCTGTTGTATTCATGTATGATTGAGAAAAGAAAGTGATCATGAAAAAGAAAGAAAGAAAAACATATGATCATTAGAATTACATGGAAATTGCTATATAGCACTACGTACGTACATACGATCTTCCTCACTTATTTCAACACCCACATGGATCACAAGGACAACTAGTCAACTACAACTGTAGTTATCACATACACAGTCAACCAATAACTTTCTTAATTTAAGTGCATCATTTTTCATTAATTGTTCCCATGGCAGCACAAAACTTGATGTAGAATCGATATGACATATACAAAAAACAATAATCATGATAACAACAACTATTGTATTTTTCGACATGGTTTGGGAGTAGTTGTAGACTATTGTGTTATCAAATGCTCTCTTGATAGCACATTATTTATAATGTTATACTTGCTCATAATTAACTTGAAGTAATTTATTAAAAACT